ACCGTGGGCAAATGATCTGAACTCTGTTTTCTCTTGAGTGAAAATGTAGATAACAATGGTACCAATTTAAAAGTCTGTTGTAATAAGTTAGTGCAAGTGAGTCACATAGAACAACCCCTGGCACATAGTAGGGACTATCTGTGTTATTTATTTACAGATGAGAAAACTGAGGTTGCGGGGGTTAAGTGGCTCTCTTTGTAGTAGCTCTGATAAAGGGAGGAACAGTATGAAATGGGAGTTACAGTCAAAATAGCTATTTTTGTACAATATTAGATCATTTTATACAAATTGTAGAACAGAAAAATTAATAACAGAGGCCAGAAATATAGGAAAGATTCTACTAGACAATTTTTATATTACGGAAATTCTATAGTATTTTCATGTGAGTTGGGGAGAGGCAGCCATTATTAGATGTTTACATAATAGCTCTAATTTGTTGAATACCCTTATGCTTGGAGTTTGAGAATCACTGACCTAGTAATTGAGTCTTTTTTGGGCAAAGATGTCAGAATGGTTCTGCGTAAGAAAATAATTAGATGGTATGAAGAGTTGTACGACTTGAACCCTAGAGAGAAATGGCTGAGCATTTGGTGATGATAACAGGAAAATGTCTGTTATTCCTCATGAAGTTGGGTTTCCAGTAGTGTTTAAAAAACCTTAAACAGGTGTCAGTAGGTTCTCTGTTTCTAGAGACATCCTGTGAACGCCTTATCCCATCTCAGTGTCAAAATATTTTGGAAACAAAAGCCGCGCACAGGTGTTTTGGACATCTGTTAAAGGACAGTTATTATACTTACACCTGTTTTCAAAAGCTTGAAATCCTGTTGGGCGGACTATGTAGACACACCTAGAAGACCTGTCTTCCCTACAGTCTGATGGAAAGTGCTCTAGACTTGGAATCAGGAAACCCGATATTACTCCTTATCCCTTACATGACTTTGGATATGTCTCTCAAACTTTGAGCCTCAGTTTGTGCTTCTGTAAGGTGGGAATAATAGAATTTACCTCACAGGGTTATGTGTTACATGAAGTTACAGATGTGACAATAAATACAATGGGACCCCATAAATTAGTTCAGGCAAATATCTGGAAACTGGTTTTTTTTTTTTAGCCTAAAGCACACTTAGAATAATTTGGTAAAGATTTTCCTTTTTCTTTTATGCTTTGTGGTTAAACCTTGACTTATGTTGTTTAAGGATGGCATCCTTTGTTAGAGCTTTTAATATGTATTAAGTTAATATACTTTTCCTGTAATAAATTAATGTTCAGTTTTTATATAGTGACCCTAAAAGTATATTTGTGGTTGTGCTTGTTGCTCTGGACCAAGTAACAGCCTTTCTTTACATGTGAATGTGAACATGAGTATATAATACAAGATATTAAAGAGAAGATAATAATGGTTTGTGTTGGAATGTCATTCATATTTCCTTAACTATTCTCACATATATTTGTAAAGATCCAAAAATAAATGATGCTACACAAGAACCAGTTAACTGTACAAATTATACGGCTCATGGTAAGACTTCCAGAAACATGTTTTTAAAAATAATTTTTAAAACGTTATTTCATAAATCAATGTATGATCACTGAAAGTCATAAATATGTGCTCTTTCTTGAGTTAATCACATTATTCAGTTTCCAGAACAGCTTAAAATTGGAGAACTGGCTAGGGGTTTAATTCAAGAAGAATGTTATTCTTAGTTATATGAATTGGGAGTTTTATATTTTCATTCATTTTTTTTAAACCTTTAAAATCAGCTTTCTTTTTTATTTACCAAGCTATGTATGCAAAGATGCTTTTTAAGTTAGATTTTTCATTACTTGAAAAGAACTTGAAATGAGACTTTTAGCCCAGTAAGTTCCAATAAGAAGCTATATCACCCATATTATGTATTTGTGAAATATACTTAGGTACATGCTAATTATGAAAACAGTATAGTTAGGAGTTTAACAATGTATCAGTATTTTTTTCTAGTATTTTCTTTTTTAAATTTTTTTAGTATTTATTTTTGAGAGAGAGAGACAGAGCACGAGTGGGGGAGGGGCAGAGAGAGGGAGACACAGAATCTGAAGCAGGCTCCAGGCTCTGGACTGTCAGCACAGAGCCCGATGCGGGACTCGAACTCACAAACTGCAACATCATGACCTGAGCTGAAGTCAGAGGTTTAACCGACTGAGCCACCCAGGCGCCCCTTTAGTATTTTTTATAGAGATGTTTTGATAATAGATCGCACCCTCAGCCTACTGATTTTGGGGAGCTTCTGTTACTCTAAAATATGTGGAATGCCAGATAAGAACTAATAAATTATTCTGTTTAGTCTTTTCTTCCAAAGGGGTATATGTTGGAAGGGAGGAAGATTGTATCTTGGAACTATTTAACCTTTTTTGACATGGTACATAATGATGGCCATTACATGGTATTTTGAGAAAAGAACATTTATTGAATATATACTGATTATTTTATGTATTAGGAAGTAAGCCAGTAATTGATGTTTTCTTTGTAAGTAAAATCTCTTAAACTCATTATGTAAAAATGAGATTAAAGGAATTATTTCCTTACAGCAGAAAACGTTCATGCTTTTCAGCATATTCAGGTAATTCACCCCTTGATTATGAATTTGTATATATTTTATTTTATTTTTTATTTTTTAATAAAGTTTATCTTTTTTCATTTTTAATAAAGTTTATTTATTTATTTTGAGAGAGACAGAGACAGTGCCAGTGGGGTGGGGGCAGAGAGAGGCAGACAGAATTCCAAGCAGGCTCCACACTGTCAGTGCAGAGCCAGATGTCGGGCTCAAACTCACGAAGCATGAGATCATGACCTGAGCTGAAACCAAGAGTCAGAATCTTAACTGACTGAGCCACCCGGGCACCTCTGAATTTGTATATATTTTAAAAAGCAGATCTTTTATCTTTTTATATCTTTATATTTTGGCACACTACTAGCCCTATATTGTCAACAAAGATATTCGTAAATAAGTTGTGTTAAACTTTTATAAATGGCATTTAGCTACTACTTTGAAGTAGTGAAATTTTACCATATAAACAGTTATATGTATATATATAATTTGTAGGTTATTTATATATATGTATGATTTGTATAGCAGATATTGCTTAACATGTATACATTAATTTAGATGTGTTAAAGGGACTTTATAAGGAATCCTTTTTTTAGTTAATTTAGAAGTATACTCGGATTTGCCTGTTTTACAGTTCTGTCTTATATTACGCTTTTGGAACACAGACAATAGAGTAAATGTGTATAAAGAAGACTCAGCTTTCAAGATACTTAACCATTTATATGAAAGATGTTAGAAATCTGTGAATACTATTGTGACTCAGGTATCTAACTAAATTAAGAAGCAGGCAGGCTTTGCACTATCAGCATGGGGCACGATCTCAGGAACTGTGAGATCATGACCTGAGCTGAAATCAGTCGGACGCTTAACCACCTGAGCCACCCAGGTGCCCCTAGCCTGTAGGATTCTTTGCAGGTATGAGGATTTTGAAGGAAATTATGCAACTAAAAGGAATAGTTTCTGCCCCAAAGAGCTTTGACCTCCATTTAGGTGTATCTTGCATGAAATAAATTTGAATCCGCTTGTGCAAATGTTGATAAGTTTATAAACGTACAAAAATGATCAGACTACTAGAAAGTAAAAAGACTTGGAGGTATTATGGTACTGTCATGGCTGATGTAAGTGGAGAGTTACAGGAAAGTAAAAGGAAGACTTTCTGTATAAGGGAATGATACGATTATTCATATGAAGAGAATAAACCAAGTGCCTTACTGAATGTGAGAACAAAAGTAGATTAATAAATGGTTTTAAATCATTACAATTTTAAAAAGTAAGTAAAGTTTTTTATTTTTTATTTTTATTTTTATTTTTTTTAAATTTTTTT